AAAACAAAAAAGATGTCTGATGAGTGTAGAAAGAGTATAATGGTTCATATTTTTAAGAATAAAGAGAATGCACGAGAGTGTATAAATTATAGAGGAATTAAATTAAAGTATCAAACATTAAAGTTATGGAAGAGTTTAATTGAACATAGGCTACAACATGTATAAAAATTTTCCCAAAATAAGTTTGGATTCATGCATGACAAGTCTACTATCAAAGCCATACATTTAATAAGAGATTTAATGGAGAAGTACAGAGAGAGTAAGGAGAATCTACATATGATTTTTGTTGATTTAGCAAGAGCTTATGATAATGTTCCAAAAAAAATATTTTGGAGAGTTCTAGAAAAGAAATATGTTAATATTGCTTATATTCAAGTCAATAAATATATATATATATACTAAAGTTGTTACTTATGTTTGAGCATAAGCAAAATTGACCAAGTATTGTCCTATTTTAATTGGATTATACTAGGGATTGGCTTTATGCCCATATTTTTATTTAAGTTATGGATGTTCTTACCATACCTTTACAAAAAAATGTACCTTGGTGTATGCTTTTCGTTGATGATATCTTTCTTGTGGATAAAATTAGAGAGAGAGAAAGAGAGAGAGTTATTAAAAAAATTTGAATTATGGTGGTCAACGTTAGAGTCTAAAGTCTTCATTTGAGTAGATCTAAAATTGAATACATGGAATATAATTTTAGTAGTAGTAGATCTAGTGACGAAGTTATAATAATGGGTGATCAAGTCATTAGAAGATGTGAACATTTTAGATATCTCGGGTCTATTGTTCAAATTGATGACGATAAAGATGCGGATGTTATTAGTAGAATTCAAGTACGATGGTTGAAGTGGAGGAATGCACTGGCATATTGTGAGATAAAAAAGTACCGCTTAGACTTAAAAGAAAAATTTTATAATATGCCAGTGAGACTATTAAGTTGGTGCCTAGCCTATGGCCATTTTATCTTTTATTAGACAAAAAGCAATTCAGTATTTTGTTATTTATTATTATTTAGTATAAATAGGGCTTAAAAGTTTAGGGTTGCAGTTAAGCATGAACTTATTGTTGCGAGTTTTTGGGTTAGGGTTTGATAAAAATTAAATACCTCTCATATTGTAGAAATTTTGAGAAATCGTCGACCTCTCGGATTGTAAGTGTTTAATCTTTATTTTATATGTTTGTGATTGTACTGTTTGCTTAGGAGAAATAAAATATTTGCTTTGCCCTAACTTTTATGAAGAATCCTATCAAATTGGTATCAGAGCATTTGAGAAATGGGAGCCGACGGAACACTGTGTGCCAGTTCATGAGAACTAGAAACTAGAAACGATTACAATTCAGCCGGTCGGCAAGGACAAACAGTGATTGAGAAGACATATCGAGTGAAAAAATCACAAACACAACGCGGTTGTGGGCAAATACAGTGGCCTTCGTGACTGCAATTCACGATGCAGTCACAATTTTTGCTAGCTAGAAATAAGACAACAGTATCGTATTTAAGCACAACGTCCAATATTGTCGCGGGGAGAAATAGTTGGAACACAAACGTTGGCATCATAGCGTACAGATGCCTGTACAGTCAGCTTTTATTATTATTATTACTGGGAAGCCAATGACCATATCACAATGTGCACACCGCAATAAAGTCGAAGGACCAACATAGGAGTTTCGCACCACTGTTGATCGTACTTGGCGATTGGGACATGTAAAGGATTTTCGCATTGCTTGTGATGAAAACTCCCAATCGGGATCAGCGACGTACAAAAATTTGGATTACAGCTTCCAGAGTTATGGCTGGCTTCCAATAGCTCCACTAAACGGTGTACAAGAATTTCGGGATCTTGGAGGCCAGAGTTTTGTGCACATCGAACTTATGTTCAAAAATTATGAACCCCATGATTTCAGCGTAAAAGAGTTCTAAAAATCTATATGGAGTAATGGCGACCAAGAAAGTAGATGATTTGAAGACAAATTGGATGAAGAGGTGAATCAAATTAGGTTGTGAATGGATTGCTTAATGTCCATGGCGGGGAAATTCATTGCCTTGGAAGAAATGATGATGAAGATCGTGGAATCCCACCAAACACGTCGCCGCCTACAGTGGGATGTAGTGAAGGAATTAAAAGCAGACTTGAACGATAAATAACAAGACATCTAGATGGTTGAAATGAGCGTCAGCAGGCAGAATGGGACATAGTGCGATTCAGAGCTAGAAAAGATTGATTCGAATGATTTTAGTAAGGAGCGGGGAAACACGGTGGGTGGGACCCTAGTCGAGGGTTGCATTTGACAGCTTCAACGCCTTTTGTTACAACAACTTTCTGACCTAAAGAGATTCAGGAGCCTAAGAAGAAGACCGAACTAATTATGGGGTGAGCCAGAATTATGGAAGAAGAGAAATCAATATGGACCAAGGAAGGAAACCCAACCACCGCTTTATGGGTGAAATGAACTTCGGTCATGAAAATTGGGGAGGAGACTCACGCATAAGGAAGTTGAAGATCTCGATCTTTGAAAGAGATGATGTCTATAATTGATATTATCGTGTGGAGAGATAATTTGTTGTTCATGGGCTGACGGAAGAAGAAAAATTGATGACGATAACTCTATGTTTGTAAGAAAAGGGTTTAACATGATATCAATGGAGAGAACAATGTCAGTCATTCTGAACATGGGAAGACTTTAAATATCAATTGTTCAAGCGCTTCAGAACCACACGGGAAGGGGAATTACACAAGTAGCTTTCTGTATTGATTCAGTAAGGATCCGTCATGAAGTATAGGGAGAAATTTTATAGGTTATCTGACTGTTTCAAAGGGATATCATAACATGTGTTGGAGGTTAACTTCATGAAGGGAGATTCGGGCGTCACTTCACCTGCTGAGACCGTGAAGATTAGAGAAAATGCAATAAAACATGCTAATAGAAGCAACATGGGTGGAGCACCATGTTGAATAGCTACAACCACGATGATACCGAAAGCTCAAACAGTAAAAGTCTAGAGGGAAACTCCACGGAACAAGAATAAGAGGCCATGACCTGGGGCGGCACTCAAAACATCTTACGGAACGATAGAGATTAAAGTGAAGAGGGCCATATTTTTATGTTTTCAATGCGATAAGAAATTTTCCCCACAACACAGTTGCAAGAATCAGACATTATAAATTCTCACAGTGTGTGACGAGGAGACAAAGAATGCAAAAAATATAGTAGCTTTGGTGGAGGAGGAACACCCTCACTTAGATGTGGTAGAACTCTTATTGAACTCAATGGTGGGATTAACAACGAACCATACTATGAAACTTCGGGGGCAGATCAGAGAGCAAAACATAGTTGCTTTGATAGATAGTAGGGCCACCCACAACTTCATATTTACCCAAATAGTGAAGCAATTGGAGCTTGAGATGGTGGACAAAGGAATTTTTGGAGTCATGATTGGGAGGAGACGGGACGGGTGGAGAAAAGCAGGGGAGCTTGTAAAAGAGTGATTTAATGCTGTCAGCATTCAAGTGATGGAAGAGGTTTTTCCCTTGGATTTAGGGAGCACTGACGTGATATGAAATGTGTGCAATCCATAGAAGGGCCTGAGATAAATTCGAAACTTTTGATCATATAGTTTCAAGAGGGAGACAGGATAGTGGTGCTTCGCGGTGACCATAGTTTATGCAAGACCCTGGTGTTATTGGATCCATCAAAGGTGGATGCTAGGTACCTAAGACCAGAAAGGGATTGAGAAGGTTTATGGGACTTACAGGATATTACAGAAAGGTGAAGGTTTATAATTTGATTGTGTGGCCGAGGACAAAGAAATTGAAGAAGGTTAATATTTAGTGGGGGTAAGTGACGACCCAGACTTTTGAGAAATGAAAGAAGGCCGTGAAAAGGTAGTAACGAGTGTGCAATTGCTTAAAGCAAGAACCAGACTTAAGCATGTTTTGAACAGGAGTGGGAGTTGCAAAACTTGATTAAATAGCAGTTTTTCCTACCTTGAGGATCAAGTTTTAAGGAAGGAGGAATTATACATCAGTGCTTAGCCTAAGAGCAATTTTGTCTTTTATCATTTATTATTTTTGGTATAAATGGGGCTTAATAGTTTAAGATTAAGGTTATGCATGAGTTGTGAGCCTTAAGGTTAAGTTTTGAGACATATTTCCTATCTCTTAAATTATAAGAATTGGGAGAGATCGTCTACCTCTTGAATTGTAGGTGTTTATCCTTTATTATATATGATCGTGGTTGTATTGTTTGCTTTAGATAAATAAAATATTTGTTTTGTCGTAATTTCTATGAAAAATCCTATCAAAGGCCTGCAATGCTTTATAGCGCAGAATATTAACCTCTAAAAGAGAAGCGTTAAATCAAGTTAAGTGTCGGTAAGATGAGAATACTCAAGTGGATGAGTGGCTTTATACTTACAGACAAAATGTAAAACAAATGTATCCGTGAAAAGGTTGGAGTAGCTCCAATGGCAGACATGATTAAAGAGAGTTGTTTTAGATGATTTGGTCACATTACATGTCGACCATCATATGACCTATTTAGGAAAGTAGAGTTTTAGATTTGACTCATGTTAAGAAATGTAGAGGTAGATCTAAAAAGATTTCTGTATGTTGTATAAGAAATGATCTTAATTTATTAGAATTAAATGAAAACATGACACTTAATAGGAATTAATAGAGAAAAAGGATTTAGTTAGCCGACCCAACTTAGTGGGATAAGGCTTGTTGTGATGCAATGACAAGAAAAATTCTAAAATGATGTTATAAATAAACGTCTAAAATGTTTAGAACTGGCTTCCCCCTCTCTGCTAATAACAGCACAAACAAAAAGGAAAATTCAATAAGCATCTACTCGTAAATGCTTTTAGTATACTGATCCCCACAAAAATGAATACTAAAACATGCAGAACTTGAGGAAACAGGCATGGAGACGCAATGCAAACAAAAGATAACTCTACATAATGTGAAATTTAACTGATTTCTAAGAATAAGTAGTTTGCAAGATAATAGATTATAATGATTAGATGATAACACTTCATTTCAAGAATAATATATTAATGCTGAAACAGAAATCATTTAAAACTATCATGATGATTATACATAAGCCTGAAGGTACTGTAACAATCCATACAAACAAAACAATGGGCAAGGAATAGCAACTTCCCCAACCATTTTACATCTATAAGCAAAGATTTCCAAGTTGCTTCAAATTATCACAGGAATCAAGGCTGCAAATAAACTGATTAGACATGAAATCTAAGAAAGCTTGAGAATCAATGAAGCCATCATACTCATCTCGCTTGTAGAAGGAATGCTCTGCTACAAAAATTTCATGCTTTATGGAACATAACAGCACCGATCAGAACTAGTCAAAACACAAACTTCAACTACAATGTACAAAAATAAATAGTCAAAGTGCTTCTTTCAGATGAAATGTCTTCAACATAATCCTAGCTCTATCATACTGATTGAGCTGAACCAACATTGCCTTCAGCCGACGAGCCAAGCCCAATGTCTCCTTCGCACTAACACCTGAAGCATGCCTTCTCTCCAATTCCCTCCCTATTTCAGACACACAATCAACCAAAGGCTGCAGCTTTTGGCCATAGTCTGCGGTGACGTTAGGACCACACCAAACTCCTACAAGAGAAGCCACTATCCTCTCTGTCCTAGTAATTGCATCATGCACGTTTGACATGGTGCTTCTCACATGAGGCAGAAGCTTCCCAATCAAAAGCTCTTGAAGTGCCAATTTCTCTAGAACTGGCAATGCAAGGATATCCTTCCACAAGCAGATATTTTTTAGTAAACGTATGGAGGTCCCAAATCTATAAGCTGCAAGCTGTGCAGTACCTGGAACAACGCTCATTACCGTTGCACTCCATACTGGTATACTGATATTGGCAACGGCTTCTGTAAGCCGGCTACACACAACTTCCAATAGTTCAAGGAGGGCCTTGCTTGTAGGGGAAACATAGCTGATTATTAAATTCATAGCAAAAACTGCATTTTCTGTCCTCTGAGTGCTGAATAAATTCCAACAGTGTGCAATGTCATGGTGCAGTATTGGAAGAGCAACCTTCTCCACCAGAATAGGAATAAGATTAGCATCTTTATCATCTGGTTCAAAATCAATTTTTCCTCCAATTGAACCATAATCCAACAACACCTTGTGCCACTCCATATCAAAGAAATCCATTGTCTTATACAAAGGATCCCACCTCAGAAGCTCCAATCGCACATAAGGAGAAAAAATGGATGGCACGCTTAGAGACATGTAAGAATCTCGATAACTAGGAAGATAGTGCTTCTTCCACTTTTCAAGTCTTTCCTTCACTACAGAAAGTTTGGAATATTCATCAGCTGCATCACTAAAAACTTGTTCAGCAGTTTGGAGCAACTCATTCCTACTGGACTGATAAGCACTACTTTCGCTATCACTTTCATCACTGGACACCTCACCTTCAATCTGCATAGATTCACCAACTCCCTTTGCAACGAAAGACAACCTCTTAGCCTCAACCTGAATTCTTCTACGCTTTCTAGCATCAGCCCTCCTAGCAAAATCCATACGCTTCTGAAGGTTGATATCCCTGCCATACTCATCCAACTGAACAGGCAAGTTTGAGCTTTCTCTGACAGCTGCCAGAGAAGCCTGTACTGCAGCAGAAGCTGCAGCTATATAAGCAGAGCTAGAGCCTCTATCTAGCACAGAGCGAGCAGCACTGATTGCAGCCTCTAACCCACCATTCTCATCAGCAATATCAGCAGCTCTTCTTTCCTCAATTACAGCAGCCCTCTGCTCATGTAACTTCTGCATCTCTTCTTCCAATTCCTCAATCAAGGAAGCTTTGTCCTTTAAAAAATCACATATCACTGATATGAATTCACGAAGCTGTTGCATGAACTTATATTTTTCATCAGCTTGTTGTAGAGACTTCTCAAGAGTAGTGATGTTAGACAAGGCTTCTGAGAGGTTCTCATCGTTCCTGACAAGCGAAGCAACAGCTCTTTTATGGCTTTCCTTGAGTTTGCCAATGTTGTCCAGCAGAGCTCGGGAAGCAACAGCAGCCTGTTGGGGAATTGACATGGCCTCACTGCCTAAACTAACACCAGCAACTGTGTTCAAAGGAATAGACAGTGCTGGTTGTAGAGCTGGGGTCTGAATGACTTTGTTAGCACTCACCTGAGTTGATGCTTCGTCAAATCTCTTTCCCAAACCTTTTCGGAACTGCTCCTCTTCCCATCTCCTCTCTTCCTCATCTTCATCATCCACAACCTTCTCCTCAGCAGCATGCACCCTTACATCAATTTCTTCAAAAACACCCTTCTTCACCTTACCATCATTCTTCTCCCCAAACAATGCAATCCTGCTTTGGAAGTCATTGTCCTCATCATCGCTCGATCCACCACCAGAACTCCGGCTACCCAAAACTCCACCGGAATCAAGGGAGATATAATCGGGCGCTGGACCTCTGGACTGTCTCAGCCGCTCCCTTTTAGCCCTTATGGCATTGATAGTAGCTTGGTCAGGGATCGCAGAAGATACTTCCGGTTTTACATCAAGAGCCAATTTTCTAAAACTCACCTGATCGTCCTCAGCTTCCTCCTCTTGTGTCTGGTTCGGAGAAGGTGTAGGGGGCATAGGCTTCACCGTACCTTTGAGAACAATAACGGGCTCCGCTTGGGGATTTGATTTTTGGGGCTTAGACATGCTTCCTCCAAGCGGACGAGCGTTTTTCTGAAGCTCCAAAAGCTTCTCCTTTGTGTACTCCCCGCTCTGCGGCTGGACATTAGAAGGGATGTGAGGCGCGTTGATGGCCGAGCGATCGCGGGACGTTGTGTGCTTGTGAATGGAGGTACTGCCGGAAGCCGGAGTTTTTGCAGCGAAACGCACAATGGTTGTGATGCTGGGGCTGTCCTCTTCGTCTTCATCGGCGAAGCTGAGGCGCTTTGGCCCCTCGGGTTTGGGTATTTTGGGTTTGACTGCTGTTAGGGCTTGGGATTTGCTTGAAATCGTCGAAATTGCAGTAGGGCGCGGGGATGCCTTGTCTTCGGCCTTTGCATCGTTGTCCTCCGATCGCCGCCGGAAGTTCTTCACCCTGCTGCTGCTCATTTGTTTCCAGTTCTTCAATTGCTTCGAATAATCAAACGAAACAGATGGTGCAAATCCAGTTTTTTTGGGGTAAATATGAGGGCAAGAAGCTCCGCAAAAATTGATTTACGGTATGTGGCTAGAATCGAAACCAGTGATTACAAAAAGGTTCGCGTACCCGCTTCCGCCGCCGACTTCGCCGTCTTCGCGGTCTTCGCCCGGCTTCTGTGCTCGATTCTACCCTTCTCCCCTACAAAATATATCTTCTATCCTTCAATATCGTAACTTATATACATAACTCACTCCATTTATTTCCTACGCATTTATTTATACATAAAAAGATGTATTTCAATCTTTAAAAATTAAAAAAATAATATAATATAAAAAATTGAGTGGTATAAAACTATAAATTAAAAATATATATATAGATATTATAAATATAAATAAATAGAAATGGGTTGGTATGTATGTAAGTGGCAAAAATTTTACACACTCTTCTTATATTTTTATACGTCACCCAAAATTTAATATTTATATTTTACATTTTAGTGTATGATGTGTTTTGATGCGGTGTTAAAATTTGAGAGATATACATGTAAATATGCTTGTTTTATTGTTAGATATATAAATATATAAGAACTATGAGGTATGTCTGTCAATGCCCCCAAAAAATAAAATACATTTTCTTTATGTTATATTATACAAGTTTTCCCCTCATATGATATATAATTCTACATATATCCTTATTATGTTTTAAATGTTCTTATTTATTTTAAGTTTCACCATTTTTTCTTGGCTTTTTTTTAGCAATAATTTAAAAATCCTTTTAAAAGAAAATTATTATTAGCATATATAAATCAATGCATACATTAAATAGAGAGAGTTAAATATCTATTACCCTAAACCCTATTTTTTTCACAGAGGCATAACTTGTGCTCATGTACCCTCCATAAACAAGACCTTGAATCTTGGAAAGACAAGGCACTCGGCAAGAAGTGACTTGCATGACTTAAATATCAAAATACCTCATCAACTCTTAAATAGCATCACGTAACATTAGAAATGAATCTCGTTTTTATTTTTTTTCTCGAAGACCAATAGAATACTTGGTTGATCAAACCTAAATATTGATACATAACAACTTATAACAAATTAGAAACAAATAAGAAAATGTTGGATTTAAGGTTGCCCTCTTTGCCACAAATAAGAAAAGATAATTGTGGTGCAAGAAGAAACAAAAACCATATTTTGTTTCCTCTTCCCTTCCATTAAAGTTTCCCCCATCAACCTTTAACTGAAGCCGCTCAAGCCTAGTCCGTCTTCCTCACACTTGATCATACTTCACATGTCTTAGAAAGCCGACTGTGATAAACCATGTGTCACACCCCACTTGTCATGCCTTGAAAAGAATTCACAAAATAAAGCAAGAGAGTATGAGTTGAAAATTTAACAATAATTTAAATCAACATTTGCCTGATTTATTATTTTCTACCAATGATATCATCATAGCATATGAATCCAAAATGTTTACACAATCTGTCAGCCAAAATGCAAAACCTCTTGCTTGAAAGTTTTTCATGTTCTTTCTCTCATTTATTTTAATTTTCGTATGTCCTTATTTTTCGATTCATCTTTCTTCCAGATCATCCATCTGCTCCGGAAGAGAGAAGTATCTCTGAAAAGATAATTATACAGCGATAGACAAACTAAGGACTATAAAAAATAAAAAAGAACAAAAAAATAGAACATGTACTTTTTATGCTACAATATCATGTGTTTTTGCACATGTATGGCACAACAATCATTTAACACTATATGATAATATATTTTTTTAACAATATACATACATATATATAATTATAAATATATTTATATATAGTCTCTTCACTACAACATCTTGAAACAAAGAAACATAGGAACAAATCCCATAAAAATTGATTGATTTCTTTGACGGGTTTAATACCGCCATAATGATATTATAATATTAATTATATTTCATGTTTCATAATTAAAACAAAAGAATATAACTACGAGATATCCACTAGTATCTATTACAATCATAAAACTGAATTAATGAGATTTTTCACATCAATGATATGGAATAAAAAATACATATTGAAATCTTGAAAGATGAACAATAAAGCATGAGGCTAAACAAAGATAAAATAAGGCTAATTACACATTAAAGTCATTATGAGTAAACATAAAAATTATTACAATCATGTGAATAGGATTTGAAAGGTACTAATCACAACCCTACAATTAGCTAGAAATCCAATACATTTAACAAGGACAATGCCCCAATTTAAGAATGATATGTTTATCTCGTAATAAAGAACAATTACTTACCTTGGGACGACAAACGTGACATCTCTATAAATTTGACGGTTCACCTATTAATGCTACACCAAATAGAAAATAACGTATATTTAATTATGAAATTAAAGTTATTTATTTACAAGCTAGATGTAATCAACTCGACCATTATTATTACTATTATTATTGTTATTATTATATTTTTAAAAGTAAGAATTTATGAACCTAATTAAACTTAGCTTAAGTAATAATTTTAATCATATCATATTTTTGTTTTATTTAGATAAGATGGAAAAATACGTTTATGTGTATGCTTTTTTTCATGAAAATTATGTGTAAATTTACATAATGAAAAATTAAAAATATATTTAATTATGTTGTTTCATAAGGCCACCGAAGCAACTACCGTTCTCCTTCTTCTCCTTCTATATGAAGGTAAACCTCATCTTCCTCCTTCGCTCACAACAGCCTGTGCAATGTCGTCGTTGCCTTCCTAGTTGGCTCTAGTCGCGTCGATGTTTCAACTTCTAAGCCGATAGTTTTGGGGCGGACGAGTGAGAGAGGGAGGGAGATCGGAGGGCTTCGGTAGCTCCAGGAGGTGAGGGAGAGCAGGTAGTATGAGTGATGCCTCCAAGCTCTGCTTTTATAGAGCGAAGAGGTGGAAGAGATCAAGCAGATTGGGAAGGCAGTAAGGAGAGGGCGGGAGACAAATCAGGAGGGTATCAGGAAAGGAAATAAAAATTGTGCAAATTAGAGAGAAGAAAAATAAAATACAGACCTTACATACCACCCCTCCTTACCCCCAAATTAATACACAATTTTAGGTGTGTATTTTCTGTCCGGACACCTACATACCTCAACGTGCGGTGCAGGTTATTCCTGAGTTATTTTTATGTTATTTCTGGGTTGTTTTTAATAATCCCGAAATAACTCAAAAATAAGACAGCGAGTTATTCTGGGTTATTTTTGGGTAATTAAAAATAACTCATGAATATCCTGCGTCGCACGTAGAGCTACATCAGGAGTCCGCACAGAAAAATTTTGCAACTTTTTAAATCAACTCAACAAGTGGGAGATTATGAGTGTAGCATGTTCACGTGTTTTGTTAATAACAATTCACAATAATAAAACCACTGAGTGACAAACAAGGATGATTATGATATCACAGTTAATATGATCTATGAATGTATTGAATAAACCAATGTACTATATGCAAATTGGTATAATATAAATGAATGTGATGCCCCAAAATTAAACAGTTCCCTTCACAATAGGTTTAAAATAGAGATAATATTTGTCACTGCATCAGTAGCTTCAAGGGCTTCTTGTGGAGTTATAACAAATGCTCAAGGTGAAAGTGTCTATCAAAGCTGCTCTGGAGCATGTAATCATTGAGACTGGTATTGCACCATTGAATGATGTTGATACGGCGAGGGTGGTTGTTGGTGTTGTTGGTATTGCAATCTAATAGGATGTTGCTAATATGGTTAAGGCACCATCGCTTACTGTGACTACTGTCAATGCTGCAAGTAGTACTGACCCATTTGTCTGTTGAAACCTTCTTTTTGGTGACGAACATTATTAGATTTATGCCACCCATTCTTACGCTATTTGTCCAAGAGGATTTTTGCTAATATGGTTGAGGCGCCATCACTTATTGCGACTGCTGCTAGCGCTGCAAGTAGTACTGACCCGTATGTCTTTTGTCATCTTCTTTCTGGTGCCGACCTTTATTAGATTTATGTCACTCATTCTTACCTATTTGTCGTTGGTCTTTTGGTTTATTGTGAGCATAATTTGGGTTGAGATGGGGGCAATCCTTGATCTTGTGATCGATATTGTAATAGTTAAACATTTGCCAATTGTTAGGTTGCAAGATCCAGGGTGTCTCTTCCTGCAGTGAGGGCTACTATAATTGTTCTTTGGTTTATCTTGTAGGTGTTTCTTTTGTGGTTCTTCATGCACTGGACATGCACTGGAGCACCAGTGTCCTTTTGCTTTGCATTGGTATTTTCTTTACGCACAATCAACTCTATCTGCACATGTATGGCTCAATCCACAAACTCTCTATAGGTAGCACACTTGACAACGGATAGACACCTTCAAATGTCATTTCTCAAGCCAACAAGTAGGTGATAGAACTTTTGATCTACATGTTGATTAATCGAATGAATGAAACAAGCAAATCTGACAAATTGCATCTCGTACTCCCGAAAGGTCTTCATTTATTGCTCCTTAAGTCATTAATGAGCTTGGCCCGGTCCTTAAAAGGAAATATTTCTCCAAAAACAATCTCTCGAAATCCGCCCAGAAACCATCATGTCCAGTACAAATGTGTTGCGATGGTCACTTTCCCACCAGCAATCAACTCCTTCACGCAACTAGAACGTTGCAATGTTCATTTCATGATCTTCATAGAACTTTATTCCTCATAGCCACTTCTCAATGTCATGATGCCAGGCATCTGACTCGATCAGGTTCATTGTGCCATTAAAGGTAGGAGAGTGCGTCTTCAAAAACTAGTCCATCACTTGATCCATGACACTCAAATTAGTCGTCCCCATTAGTTTATTAGGTTGAGCCTCCATGGCGGTGACATGTGGTATTGGTTGAGTGGCGTGTGTCGGCTGCACTACTTGCTGAATGGCTTGGAATGTTTGTGCAATTTGAGCTGCAAAACTAACTTGTAGTGCTTAAGTAATATTCTGGGTCACCACCGATCATCGTTCGGTACACCTAGTGATTTAAGATTTAAATATTATAATTTTTAAAATATATTTTATGAATTTAATAACTTAATTTTTCACATTTAATCACTTTACACTAGGTATTAACGCAAATGCATGTATCGTTCAAATAATATAGGACTTTCTTTAGTCTCGAATATCGAATCCACAGAGAAGGTTATAAATTGGACAAACTTAAGAAAAGTTCTAACTGAATTTAAGTAGTCTTAGCTAGAAAATAAGTTTTATTTTAATGTCAGCCAAGGAATTCTACCAACTAATACTAAACCTTTAATTTTACCATTAATTAAACCACACTAAGTTAAATGAAGCAGTAAAATTTTAAGCTATTAAAAAGTCCCTCCCCTTGTAATGAAATTAGTAGCTAGTGTAGGTGTAGAACAACTAGAATACCTAATTAAATTTGTTACATATAGGACCATGCATTTTCTTTAGTTTAATGAAATTTTGATGAAAGTAGTAATGAAATTAGTAGCTAGTGTAGATGTAGAACAACTAAAATACCTAATTAAATATGTGACAAATAGGATCATGCATTTTCTTTGCCCTTTTCCAAATGCATAAAGAAACTAGGTTAACAAAGGTTTGTTTTTGTCTGTAACACCCTAGAAACCTCCTAGCTACCCGCGTTAAAATCATCTCCCTATTTATTTCACTGATCTACGAACTACTCTTTTCTTCACCCTACAAGTTGATTGAATCTATATTCCTCTCGTGTCTTATGGGTTCACAACATATTTTAACACTACAACTGGCCAAATTGCAATGTAAATTAAGCATAAAGTAACAACAACCATCATAATCATAAAATGAAAATAATTGTAATTGAATCTACATCCTACACATGATACTATCTCACACAAGAGGAAAGAAAAAGGAAATTACTTACTCATATTATATGTATGAAGATAACCCCAAAACACATCATCTTATAACAAATCAAATCCAAATGCTATGAAATACTTTAATACAAGATAATGTATAATAGCATACTTATTTTCTTCCCTGAGAACTGACTCCTCCCCAAGTGTGAATCCCAAGTTCTCCTTGCACTCCTACAACAATTCCTTACAATACAACTCAGACCTCTCAAATAAAATATAGAGAAAGAAATGGAAATCTCACTTTTCCTTACCTAATTAATACACTACTTTCTTTTCTCCATGCTTCCCCCTCGTATTATCTGCTTCCTAGTGAAATAGCTCAAAGTTTGCTCAGTCAGTTGGGAAAATCAATTAGGAGCCACCAAGGAGCGAGGGAGCGGTGCCTATGCGCTAAATCCTATGATCCATTTTCCTCCATTTTATTTCATTTTAGCTCCAGTTTGTTGCAACTGCTTTACTTATTTCACCTGCATCAAAAACATGAAAATATCTTCAATTAAAGTTCAATATCATCAAAAACATGAATCAACATGTTAAAGGAGATGTCAGCCACCTCCATGAGAGTTCACATGTTGAGAATCTATGTTTCAGCAGTCTCAATGGTTTGAGCATGATCTGCACGATGAAAATTAGGGGAGCGGAGACCACTAGGAACGAAAACATCATTTATAACTTCCACGAGTGACTAAACGCCTCTTTTTTCAAAGCAATTTAAACAAATAAAAGATACACGAAATCAAAATAGATAAAGGATAAAAAGTACAAAATATATGAGAAATTGAATACAAAACATAGATTGTGATATCACTCTATCACACGGAATGTGGTGCACCCCGACAACACATGATTAGAAGAATTGAACAAGTTTTGTATTCGTGAAAAAAAAAGAGTGTGCTATCCAAATAAAAATAAAGAAAAATACTTTTTTTTATTATAGAAATAAAGAGTCCAACCAATACAAAATGAAAATTAGGTAAGGAAAAGTGAGATTTCCATTTCTTTCTCTATATTTTATTTGAGAGGTCTGAGTTGTATTGTAAGGAATTGTTGTAGGAGTGTCATCACAAGAGGAAAGAAAAAGGAAATTACTTACTCATATTACATGAAGATAACCCCAAAACACATCATCGTATAACAAATCAAATCCAAATACTATAAAATACTTTAATATAAGACAATGTATAATAGCATACTTATCTTTTTCCCGGAGAACTGACTCCTCCCCAAGTGTCAATCCCAAGTTCTCCTTGCACTCCTACAACAATTCCTTATAATACAACTCAGACCTCTGAAATAAAATATAGAGAAATAAATAGAGAACGAGAACATGATTTATAATAACTATCATTTATAACTTTCACGAGTGACTATAACGCCTCGTTTTTCAAAGTCATTTAAACAAATAAAAGATACACGAAATCAAAATCGATTGAATCCATCCCCTACCCAATCCTATAATGACTAGGGATGGGTAATGCAATGAAAAGAGAAGCAAAAATAAAGGATAACAAGTACAAAATACAAGAGAAATTGAATACGAAACATAGGTTGTGATATCACTCTTTCACACACCCAAGGTCCGGAATGTGGTGCACCCCGACAACACATGATTACAAGAATTGAACAAGTTTTGTATTCGTAAAAAAAAAAAAGAGTGCTATCCAAATAAAATAAAAAATTATAGATATTTTTTATTATAGAAATAAAGAGTCCAACCAATACAAAATGAAAATTGGGTAACTGAAAGCAAATAAGCTAAAAATTGGGTAACAGCTATCCACATGATTAAAAGAATTGAACGTGCAGTTAGTAACCAATAAAAATAAGAAAAAAATTATTTTATTATAGAAATAAAGAGTCCAACCAATACAAAATGAAAATTGGGTAATTGAAAGCAAATAAACTAAAAATTGGGTATCAACTATCTCATAACAAAAAAAGAAAGATACACTAATACGAAACATAAAATACTAAAATTAAATCTAAAGTTGAAAATTTTGCCCCGATGGGGACGACTCGGTAAGTGGTTGGGTGTAACATGTTTCAACGAGTGAGTTTGAAAATCAAACTCAGTTAATAACAACTATTTATTAAAATATGAACATAAAGTAAAATGCAATTTATTAAAGCATAAATGTGAAGTAAAATGGGGCATGCAACATGACAAATAATTTGCTTAACTATGTGTATAGAAGAGTATGCAAAGGCTATCACATGCTTATGATCATGAATAAAATTTAACACATGCACTTTTTCTGTAGATATGCAAATGCTATCATATCAATTGTTTTTGCACAGAAACGACACACCAATCATTTAATACTACCTTATAATATAAAATTTCAATCTATACATTTATAGGCACATACACATATATATTTATAAAAATCTACTTATTTCTTTGAACTGTTCATTTAACACTATCTTATAATATAAAATTTCAATGTATACACATATATATACATATACTTATATTTATAAAAAATCTACTAATATCTCTGAAGTGTTTAATATGAATCTAATAATATTTCATGCATCCCAATCAAAACACAAGAATTTAACTATAAAATATCTATCAGAATTTATAAAATCAATGAAATTGAATTAATGAGATTTGTCACATCAAAGTCATAAAATAAATAATAAATATTGAAATTATGAAATGTGAACAGTAAAACATGAGATTGCGTGAAATTTAATGCATTTTAGGATTCGAATCACAACCTAGCAAGAAATTTAATGCATTTTACAAAGACAATACTCTTGACTAGGAATGATGTTTTTGTCCCACAATAAAGAGAAATTACTTACTTCGAGGTGACAAACGTGACACATCTAAGAATTTGATGGTTCTAGGGTTTAGGGTAACAGTTTTAAAAAATAAAGTATTTTTAATTATTTATTTACAAAACTACATGTAGTCAACCCTACCATTATTATTATTATTATTATTAACTTATTCTTATATCTTTAAAAATAAGAATTTATGAACATAAAAACTTGGGTCGAGTAACAATGAAAATAATATCTTATTTTTGCTTTATTTTCATAATGAGAAAAAACAAATTTTTGTATAAGTTTTATTCATGGAAATTTTATATGTAAAATTACTTGAAAAATATATTTGCCTTAAATATCGGATGGGTCGGACGATGGATTCACGGGCTGCGAAGGCCTGCATAATACTTTATTGAAAAAAGAACACGGATTAAAGTCGAAAAGGCCCGTATGAATACAATCTCTCTACTAAAACATAGAGAAAGTAATTAAAGACCCATCAAAACTAACAGTTATTTGATGATTAATCCATACTAAAACGAAAAACTGTTCTTTAAATCTCCAACTTAGCTTTATAATCTCAACCTAAACAAACAACTAAACTGTTACTTACATAAATAGATTGATAGAGAACACATAAAATACCGACCATAAACTAAATAAATATACAAAATTAATCTGTTCATGCCAACAATTAAATAAAATAAAATAAAATAAAATAATTGTTAGTTTAGATTAAAGTAATCTGATGACAAAATGTATACAAATCATACATGAGCCTGCAGAACATGGTTAAAAATATATTTACACAGCATCTGGCGCGTATTCAAGGAGACATCTTGAGCTGCACCACCCAAAAAGTTGCTTCCAGTAATGCACACCTAACAGTATAATACTGTCATTACTGCTACAATTTATTCCATTGATGATCTTTTTTACAAATTCATAAAACTCCCCACAATACGAGCGAATTCTGCAATAAAGAAAGAACTCAGTTCATTTAATTTCTCTGAATCGTTGAAATACCAGCGAACAAGAAAATCACCTTTAAAGAAACTTAAGGATGGGTTCCATCTACATCTCAATCAACCGAAGGCTTTTGAGGCATTGTAATCAAACACCAAATTCTGCAATGTTGTAGAAAATTTAAGTTGAATTTTCCAGTCACAGTCACATCAAATATTCTCATCTTAATCAGCCCAGTTTAGTGCAATAACCTCATAATGAGAAATCACAATTGAGAATCCCAAGTGGTTCCTCTTCTTCCCCTCCTCCGTTTTAAAATTCTCCTCATCTAATGCGGCTATAGTTGGCAAATGGTTCTGCACTTTTTGTCTTAGCTGCAGGCTTATCCAATTCTGGATTCCCAAACACATTCCAAAATCTCAATGTCTCATCACCAGCGGCCGTCGCCACCGTGCATCCATCAGGGCTCTGCAATTCCCAAACTTCAGTTAATTTTTTATCAAAATATCCACGATATAAAAAGGGAAAAAAGGTAATCTTTACCTGAGTCATGTACAGAACTCTAGAAGTATGTCCACAGAGCTCAGCAACCTTCACCATGGAAGGATACTTCCACAATGTGAGCTGGTTCTGAGTAAACCCATGAGAGCTCAGTAGCTCACGCTCATTCTTGTTCCACAGCAGCGCACAAACCTGTGAGCCCGTGTCCACTGAATTCAAGCAAGCCCCTGTAAGAGTGTTCCAGAACTTGATACAACGATCGGTACCACCTCCACCCGAAGCAAGCAGATTACTCTGAAATGGACACCAAGCCAGAGCCTTCACAGCTGCATTATGGCCCTCAAATCTGTGGAGCCATTGGTTCTGATTTGCGGCAGATGAAAATGAAGATGATGTGGCGATAGAGAAATCCCATATATGAAGCAGATTATCGTTGCCACCACTTGCCAGGTGTTTGCCAGATGCAGACCATTTCAATCCACAAACTTCTTGCTGATGACCTCTGTAGCTGTTCACTTCATGATTTCTTATCCTCACATCATTGTTCACAATTTTCCCATCCATTCCCCCAGTCGTGAGGATATTGTTGTTCCATGCAAGAGTTCCAACGCGAGATCTATGGATTTCTTTCAGTGTTCTCAACTGTAACATCATTGATTTCAAAAGAAAAAATAAAACTTTAGGAAAGCCTGAAGGAGCTCATGTGCTTCACTGTTGTACAACATATTAGTAAACAAAATTCCACTTACCAGTCGAGCTGAGCTCGAATCCCAGAGTTGAACTTCCGAGTTGTTCAGTCCGATGGCAAGGTGCTGACCATCAGGAGCCCAGCAGACACTGGTGACCGGACCCAAATCATCGTCTACGGTGACGAGCTCAGAAGTAGAACCTTGAGAAGCGTTCCACAAGTACACCGTGTTGCCTAGAGCAATAGACAGGACATTTCTGCTTCCCCAATCAAGCAGATTCAAATAGAAGTCGTCCACCAGATCTGGAGCATCTAACGTCCTCTCTGCTGACTGTAAGAACCGTTCCAACCAACGGAAAAAGAAAAATAAAGTGTAAGAAACTGGAAGAATCAGATTAAAAGGAAGATTGGAAGAATAAAAATGCTTGCCTGTGGAATGTATCTTTTGCTTTTGGTACTCTTGCATTGGTTGGAAGTAGCAGCCTCAGAAATAGCGGCGAGCATTGAATCAGTGGGAACTGGAGGCTTTCTATTGAATGACAATATCCTGGTTCTGTTATTCAGTAAAGTCTCAGCGAGCAGCTTACGATAGGCCTCTTTTGCAGGTGAAACAACTTCATTGTTCTCCTTTTCCTTTCTGACATGCGTTAACAAGTAGTGCGCAGCATCAAAATCCATTGCAGATCTATCTGGTATGAACCTGTCTCCCTGATATATTAAGACGCCGGTAAGATGAATATTTAAACAAGTTCAGATAAACTGGAAATTTTCGCATGAGAAGATCCATGAAATCAGATGGAATGAATAAATAACTAACAAAAAAAAGATCTAATATTTGAAAGGGAGTGAATTCTTACGCTTTGCCAGTAAGAAGATGGATTGGAAGAAGTATTGCGGAGAGAAGGGATGTAGACGGTGGATCCAACTCTGGCGAGGGGTTGGCGATATCTTGATTGAGCCTTCTCAGTGGAGGATGAGAAAGAAAAACGTAAAGATCCTGCATCCATTTGTTAGCTCAAAGAGAAAAAAAAAACTGCAAATTTAAAATAAAGAAACAAACAAATTGGCAAACTAGAACGACAACAAGAGAAACCCTGCAAAGAATTTTTTTTTTTTTAAAAAGGTCAGAAAATGAAAAGGGGCAATATATTCTTAGGAAGAAAGAAAACGAAATCTTGAAGAAATAAATTGGAAGGTGTTTCCGCAGATTAAGAATTAAACAGAATTCCGTTCGCGCAGATTTTCTCCGCTTCACCCCCGTTTCCGAGATGAAGTAGAAATGAAAGCAAAGCAAGTGAAGCGCTGATGGCTTTGTTTTTCGATCTTTATAGATCGGATTCGGGGTAAACGGCTACCCAACGTCTCTTTTTTTTTTTTTGACCGTTGGCGGTGAGGATCACATTGTGCCTTTTATGTCATTTGTTTCTTTGTTGGTATTAGTCATGCATTTCAGGGTTTTAATATAAAAATAATTTAAAATTTTAAATATAGTATTTTAACCATCTAAACTTAAATTTTATATTAAAATCATTCAAAATTTTATTTTTTTAAAACAGTCTTTATATTTAACAATTTTTATGTCTTTTAAGTGGTTGAAATATAAAATTTTCAAATTTTAGTAAATTCATTATATTTAAAATTTTCGTCATTCACCATGAAAAATTCATTTTTTTTATTTAATTGACATAGAAATCATGCCTTTAAATATTGGAAGATTTACATACGTACCATTCAATTTTTATGTATTTATATATCTTATAACTAAACATAAATTCCCCTATAAATGTATATTTCACTTCTTTAAAGTTGAGAGGATGATATTTCCAATATGATATGAATGATTTCAGTGATATAAATATAAAAAAATAAAATTTGGATGTTAAATGTTTAAATACATATGAATTGGGTGCTACTTATATAAATACCTCATACTTATTTAGTAGTGACATAAAAATGTAGTTTACATTTTAAATATAAATAATGGGGATATTTTTCATGTGATATTGATGATTTAAATACACCACACATAAATATAAAAGCTTAGGTGTTTGATATCGAAATATATAAAACATGTAATAATTGTGCATTATGTATGTGATTGCCCCCATTTTTTTGTCTTGGCATCCCATATAAATTTTAAAATATTGTAAGAAATTTAATCTTATGATTTTTTATACATTGTAAAATAGGCATAATTTCATGTAATTAAACAATATTCTCACGTGAAAGTTAAATGATGTTTAGAAGATTATGTGTGTGTTTGTGTGTTAAATCCAAAAATGTCATGTTAATCACACCTAATGTATAGAGCATTGGACAAACGAGAGGAAGAAAGAGTAAGAAAGAAAAATAGAGCACACCGTAAAACATGTTTTGATAAAATCAATTCAACATCCTTTATTAAAAAAATAATCCTATGTTTGTAGATCCTACAGGCATTTAAGTAAAGTTACATGGTTGTCTCTGTTTTAATAGGGAAGTTATGATTCATTATTACACCTTTTCATTTTTGTAACTTATTTCAGGACCCTTTAGTATTCTTAACCAGCGTCGACATCGTTCTATAGTGATAACTGCTTGAAGAGAGGCTTTACATGGCTTGCTAGTGTTGTCATATGGTCCTTGAAAAATTATTCAATTGGCTAAAAGGTCATTGATCGACTGGAATATCCTCGGCTGACCTTCTCAAGAGAATCCTCAGTAGAGGCCCTCTTATCTTTAAGGTAAAATTGGACCACCAATGAGAGGTTGTATCACTATAATGTGACCGGTAGTTCTCTTTAGGCAATGGGTCTTCTCAAGGAAATAGAAAAATATTCAATGGGACATTATTTGACCATCTTTTTTAAGAATGTCAAAATTAGTTGAGGGTGACGACTATGCGTGACTGTCCCTCTGATCAAGTGCCTCATTTTCATTCGTTCGGTTGACCCATAGTTCTGATAATGAATACAAGTGTCATCTACAAAAAAAAAAAAAAAAAAAAAAAAAAAAAAATTGGTTTTTTTTTTTAAAAATGGATTATGATTTATTTAGGTTATTCAAAAGAAATAAATTGAATGAAATAATGTCATTTGATAAAATAATTGATTGAGATATCTGAATAAAGTTGGCCAATATATATTTTTTTATTTCTCTCTTAACCAAAGCTCCAATTTTTGTGCTTTTTCCCACACACCTAACAACAAAAAAGGGAAAGAAAAGTCTTATGTACTAAACCGACATTTTAACAAAACTTTAACGTTTTAACACAATGGATATGTTAGAATCATCTATATTTTTGTCTCTAAAATTAGTTCAATTTTGTATCAGGGAGTGACTATTGTAATTTTTTTTTTTTCATGAAAAGGTATGCCATTCATTTTTTATAATTACCACTACTGAGAAGAATTGTTGTTAAAAGTTAGGAAAATTTAAATAAATAGTTGAGAAGATTTACATGCATACCACTCCTTTATATGTATTTACATGCATACCACTTCTTTAAAGTTGATTTTCTTGTTCGCTGGTATTTCAATGATTCATTTCTTATTTGCAAGGAATTCTCTCATAGACTCGATAAGTAGAGTCGTACCGCTTTTGAGAAGAGACCTCGACCTTGAACCAGAGAAAAACTAGAGCTTGAAGGAGAAGGAGTTTAACCCCCGCGCTTTCCACTATTAATGAATGTCATCAGCTCTTGCAATCGCCGATTGTTGTCGACCACTGCTTTTCAACCGTCATTGAACACTATCAGCCGCCACTTCTTACGGAGAAATCCCTTATGGATTCATAGCTTATGTTGTAGAATCCCATCATATGTTGCATAATAGTGAAGCAACTGACGAAGTAATGTGTCATTGAGTACATTGTGCAACGAAGCATCCCCAAATATAGTGTAACGACGCTCCCTTCAACAAATACTTACAAAATTTATACTCAGAATATGATGACTTTTCTTCAAACTTTTGATGCTCAATCTTCGGACAGCTTGCTACCATGATGTACGAGACTAACTACAACCAATGTGGTCCACACCTAGTGCAGCTCCAAACTCCAAACTCTATGACCTATTAACATCATCATAGCTTGTGTAGCTCCCAAATTCGGTCTTTGTGGCCTTGAAACATTATTATAGTTTGTGTAGCTCCCAACTCTGACTTTTATGACCTACAGACATTATCATAGCTCGTGCAGCTCCCAACCCCAGTTTTTATGGCCTACATACATTATCACAGTTTGTGTCGCTCCCAACTCTTAGCCTCTTTGGGTTACATGCATTATCACAGCTTATGCACCACTCAAATTAGGTCTCTATGGTCTGCAAATATTATCATAACTCCCCCCTTTGATTAATGTGATCATATGTGGCCTACATAGCTCGTTGTTCACGCGACCCCCAACTCCAACCTTTACGGCCTACAAATATCATTGCAGCTCGCCACGACGGCTTATGTGAGTCACAACTCTCACATGTCATAGATCCGACCTCTATGGCTTATGAATATTATTGTATTCCCCAGCTTTGTTCTCCACAACCTACAAACATTATTATGGTTCCTCTCTACGATCTACATGATTAACTACGTCTCTATGATCCACAAATCACACAACTCTCGACTTCGACCTCTACAACCTATGAATGTCGTCGGAGCTCACCACGATGGTTTGTGTGGTCAATAATGACCTATGTGGCTCACAACACACACAACCCCCAACTCACGCCTCTACGACATACAAACATTATCACAACCCATGTAAATCATAATTATGATATTTGAGGTTCACAAATGTTACCACAATTCATGCAACTCCGAACTTCAACCTCTATGGCCTACGAACATTATCTCAGCTCACAAAGCTCCAAACTCCAGTCCCTATACTTTATGTAAGTTATTATAACTTATTGTCACTACCTATGTGACCTATTATGTCTAGTGATCCACAACTCATACAACTTCAAACTCTGACCTTTATGCCCAACGAACGTTATCACACCTCATGCAGCTCTCAAATACAACCTCTGCAATTGACGAGCGTTATCACAATTTGTGCAACTCTCAACTTCGACTACAACCTATGTGGCTCACAACTTATGCAGCTCCTAATCCCGACCAGCCTCTACGGCTTAAGGGCATTATCACAACTTTTATAGCTCCCAACTCCAACCTTTGTGCCCTACAACGTTATAATAGCTCATGTAGCTCCAAACTCCGACCTTTGCAGTATATCACCACTACGTCTCATGAGACGAACTACGACCTATGTGACTAACAACTATAACTCCATATTATGATCTCTATGACTAATCAACCCTCCTGAAGCAACAATCTTCGAGACCCACATGGTCAACTAATACCATGACTTTCAATTAAGACCTCTACAATAAGCTGACACTACAACCACCGCCTACAAACTCACGACAGACTACTGTATTCACAACAATTGACTACGATCTTCATGACCCATTATAACTAATGTAGATGAAATATCGTTGTACATCAATCCTGTAAGTCCATCTTTCCTAACTCAGGAAAAGAATGGGTCTGTGCACTCATAATTACATAATTATTTCAACTAGGTCATACCCAATTATTTTTTTTTCCAAGGTTTTCTACATAAAATGTCAATGTCTCTCATCGTGCCTACTTTATTCTTTTATCTGTGTGATAAAACTTCATGCAATGTTAAGACGCTAAATATTCATACTGCCATTGAGAATCATCGACATGCAACAAGTGATATTTTTTATGCCATGCGAGAGACGTGAGTGGTATTAATGATCAAATTTAGGCTATCATGAAAATTATCATTACTAGATTAATCCGTGACGAGATTATCAGAAATTAATTAAAGTTTATACTGTACCATCACTATAAAAATCTAACATTTTTTTTTGGAAACATTCAAATTAAAAATTTGATCATTACCAGGGACATAATTAGAAGAATATCATAAATCAAAATTTTGTTCTAGCCGTTTAGGATTGTATTTTGCAATCATTTATTTATTTAAATATGTTAAAATATCAGCATTTATCTAAGAATGTAAGACAAATTACCATTACGACGAAATACATATGAAATTCATCAAAGCATTTTCTTCCATCGTCGCTTTCTTCTGCTGTCCCACCGCCAAGCACGGCGTCGATCGAGGAGAGCGGCGGAGAGGACGAGAGAGAGAGAGAGAGAGAGAGAGAGAGAGAGAGAGAGAGAGAGAGTGTGTGTGTAGAGAAACGTAGAAGAGGAAAGCCCTTGCCTGTGAAGCCACAATGAAGAAGCGAGCTTCTGTCGGTCTTCTCGCGTTCCTGACGGCTTTGGTAGTCCTCGCCTTCATCACTACGAAGATCCAGCATGATCATCTCAAGGTCTTCTTCTTATTATCTCTTTGTTGCTATGTCTCTCACCCCATTAATTATTGTCTTCTGTTCTTCCGACGGCTTTACTCAAGCTCTGATTATGGCCAGGTGACTGAAAGGATCCGCCCGCAGGCGGTGGTACAGGTAAGTCAGCTTTTTTGTCGGATTGGGTGTTACCATGGGTGAGAAAATGGTTATCATTTGATTATGGTGTTTCAGAAGCAGTTCAGGACCAGCATCACAGCTCTTCCGCGTGGCATTGTGGAATCAACCACCGACATGGAGATGAAGCCTCTTTGGAACGTCTCTAATTCCAAAGTAACTAAAATTTCGACTTACTTTTTTCTCCCGTTTTCCTCCATTTCCTTTCATGGACACCTTGAGATATCTTTGCTTGCAGTTGTTTTATCTCATCATTGTCATTTTGTGTACTTTTCCCCAATATGGACCTGATCAATACTTGCTTTCTATGAAATGCTGCTTGCTCCGAGGCCATTCGTGTTTTTCTATTATATTTTCACAAATTGAGCTTTATATTTGCATTTAATGTATTTTGATGATGAATTAATTGATATATAAATGAACGAGGAAGTTTGTAGTTGTGTATTGCTTAAAGAACTATTGTGTTTGTTTTTTTGCATGAGCTATGCATGTGATGTTTGAACCTCACTTGGATAAAAGCAGAGTATTCTTGAAGATTTGGAGTAGATTTGAAGCAGCTTATCTATGGAGATTTGGAGCGGAGTTAAAAGTAGCTTATTCTTAAAGTCTTTTAAATTCAACACTTTAATTTGTGGAGCAGGTGAATCATCATTTTCAATACACAAACCATAGAAAATAAAAGTTGAAGAAGACAAAGAAGTCGCATAGGCATTTAAATCATTTTCTTATGCATTTAAGGATCTTATTATATCATGGTGCTTCCCTTCTTTTCTCTTCCTTCGTACTTCTATAAGTACCCCTGCGATGTAATGAAATGTTATGTTGTGTTGATATTAGATTTTTGCTAGCTATGTCATAAGTACTACTTGGTGTTCCTCTCATAACGGAGGATTGGATGATTTTTTCATATAATATTATATGGAATTTCTTCTCTTTCTCCCTCCATCATTGCCTTAGTAAGTGTTAGCCAACTCAAGGATCTCTAGCAGTTACCCCCCACCTTCTCAGAGTGGGGATTCAACCGACATTGCCATATATGAAAGGAAGGATTCTCTCCTCCCTTTATAACCACTATCATTTTTGAATGTTAGTAGAGCTTGGAGTGAACTATATTGAAGCATCATTGGAGCAATGATTCGTTGTGGAACCCATCTTCTAAGATATAAGGACTTTCAAACTCCTATCTATTTTTTGGTTTATTCTTTGTTTGCCTTGGCTAATGGTTCTCTAAGGAAAGCAGGTTTAGATTCTAAATTCTTGTATGATTTACTTTGCCTTCCTGCATCGTGATGTTTCACTTGAAACATATATTCTTTGAAATGCTAATTCTGGTAGGCTTGTAAATGTTTTACTTTGTTAATTTAACTTTTGTCTAACTGGATATGTATGTGCAAAGCCGTTGTATGCTGTCAAAATAAGTGAATATTTTGTTTTTTTTTTTCAGGGTACTAATGTAAATTTTGCGGGTTTATTGGCAATTGCTGTTGGTATATCACAAAAACAAAATGTAGACAAGATGGTTCGTAAGGTATGCAGATAGTCCAAACTCTTTCACAACGAGCTTAGTTATGGCTTCCTTTTTTTTATTTACATATTAAAGCTGATGAATTTTGCACTCTTGTTTGCTCAGTTTTTAATAGATAATTGTTCCATTATACTTTTTCATTATGATGGAAATGTGGATGGTTGGCACGACCTTGAATGGACTGACAAAGCAATCCACATACTCGCACAAAACCAAACAAAGTGGTAATATATTTTATTTTAAGAATACATGTCTTTGTAAACTAACCGTAATAAACATCTCCATTCAAGCAATCACATGTAGTTCTACCATGCATGCTGTGACATTTAACTAATAGCCTGGCTACGTCCTGTACTAGCATTACAAATAGAGAGACAAACATGCAATGATTTCATCTTCTTGATCATGGACTGCATAGATCATTGTGCAAGCCTTAATGATCTAAATTTCGAGAAAACTTCATGCAGGTGGTTTGCGAAGCGTTTTCTACATCCAGATGTGGTAGCTTTATATGATTATATCTTTCTCTGGGATGAAGATATAGGAGTTGATTATTTTAATCCTGGAAGGTATTTATGAGTTGAATTTCTGCGCAAATATTCATAAGAATGTGATATGACATGTTTGCTTGTATGTGTTTTTTCTGACTAGAGCAATCTGATAAAGTCTTTTCAGTGATCTGATGATCGGTGAACATATTCTTATTTTAGAAAACTCACAAAGCTCTGTTTTTTTATTTGAACTTAAGGAAATTGAAGAATAGCATCACTTTATTTTATTAAATTACAATTTACTCCAATAACGAGGTTTTGACCCTTGGCTTCTTTAATGTTGTGCTGTTCTGTAAAACACTGAAGGTCATTCCATGCTGTAAGTTTCAAGCTTTAGGCAATTAGAGTAAGAAAAAGTAAGGATGAAGGATGATTTGATGGTAAAAGTAGACCATGATATTGAGGCATGCTGGTAGTATCAAAATTAATAATAAGACAACCATCCTCGAAACTTCTGTCAAATTATTATTATTATTATTATTTATTTCCATTGTTGTATACCAGCCTTAGGAAGGTCCGTGCAAATGCAGAAGTTTTATAGTTTTCATGAGTGTTCTCTTGCTGCTGAAAATGAATTGGTTGCATTATTTTGTTGAGTGCATTGCGATTGCTTCATGGAAATGTGGTTATCCAATTTTTTTAATGCTTTATTGGAAGTTGTAACAAACATGATGATGAGGGCTAATTCTTCTTGTGTAGTTTAGGCTTTAAAAAGTTTACATTATTTGTGTTGCATTTGAAGTGGATGATGTATTGTATGAAAACATTAGTTTTCTGCAATAACACTAGCTTGGATCCTATTATCATCTGATTTTGGCTTCGTGAAATTAATCAAAGTAAAGAAAGCTAACTCTATACTTTAGGATAAAATTATTCAGTATCACAAGAAGTTCTAATCTCGAAAAGTTCTAATCTCGAAAAATGAACGAAGTTTGGTATGTAAAGTTTTTGTTATTCAAGCCTATTTAAAGGTTATCTTATTTATCTTTATTTGGGGCTTGAAACTGCTAAAATTTTGGCCATCTCATTGCATCAATCATCTGAATATCTTGAAAGATATGTGAATCTTTTGATGATTCCATTTTTATCTATCAACATATGGAAAAGACATTTTAGAAATGAACCAAAAAAGTTATACTTATCCCAAACCTAAATAGAAGTCTAAACTAAGAACCACAATTAAAAACTAAAAATGAATTAAGGAAGTTAATGATTAAGGATTTGCATTTGCAACAATGGTTCACCAAGTAACCTAATATAACTAGTTAGAAGATAAGTTATCACAAATGAGTTTGACATGTACTCCCAGCAAATTGCTCATATTTATTATAGCTTAAATAGCAAGATAAAGTGGCATGTGAAGTGAACAATAAAAGAGACAATTTACAATATAATATTAATATGATGAATGCCATCCTATTATCAAATTAGAATAGTATTGCACATATTAAATGTAAAAGATGATTTATGATATTGTCATTCATATAAAAATCATTACTCTGTGCATTTTTATACTAACATGTATAGTCACATTAGACATGCACATAGACACCTAACGATGATTCATCAACATTTTATCATAGTACCTTTATATTTATATAATTCTATATTTTGTCTACCAATATAGTCTAGATGGTGAAGGTTTTTATTAATCTCTAAAATCTATTTTTTTTTTTAAATACTTATCCCAAACCTAAATAGAAGTCTAAACTAAGAACCACAATTAAAAACTAAAAATGAATTAAGGAAGTTAATGATTAAGGATTTGCATTTGCAACAATGGTTCACCAAGTAACCTAATATAACTAGTTAGAAGATAAGTTATCACAAATGAGTTTGACATGTACTCCCAGCAAATTGCTCATATTTATTATAGCTTAAATAGCAAGATAAAGTGGCATGTGAAGTGAAGAATAAAAGAGACAATTTACAATATAATATTAATATGATGAATGCCATCCTATTATCAAATTAGAATAGTATTGCACATATTAAATGTAAAAGATGATTTATGATATTGTCATTCATATAAAAATCATTACTCTGTGCATTTTTATACTAACATGTATAGTCACATTAGACATGCACATAGACATCTAACGATGATTCATCAACATTTTATCATAGTACTTTTATATTTATATAACTCTATATTTTGTCTACCAATATAGTCTAGATGGTGAAGGTTTTTATTAATCTCTAAAATCTATTTTTTTTTTTAAATACTTATCCCAAACCTAAATAGAAGTCTAAACTAAGAACCACAATTAAAAACTAAAAATGAATTAAGGAAGTAGTTAATGATCAAGGATTTGCATTTGCAACAATGGTTCACCAAGTAACCTAATATAACTAGTTAGAAGATAAGTTATCACAAATGAGTTTGACATGTACTCCCAGCAAATTGCTCATATTTATTATAGCTTAAATAGCAAGATAAAGTGGCATGTGAAGTGAAGAATAAAAGAGACAATTTACAATATAATATTAATATGATGAATGCCATCCTATTATCAAATTAGAATAGTATTGCACATATTAAATGTAAAAGATGATTTATGATATTGTCATTCATATAAAAATCATTACTCTGTGCATTTTTATACTAACATGTATAGTCACATTAGACATGCACATAGACATCTAACGATGATTCATCAACATTTTATCATAGTACTTTTATATTTATATAACTCTATATTTTGTCTACCAATATAGTCTAGATGGTGAAGGTTTTTATTAATCTCTAAAATCTATTTTTTTTTTTAAATACTTATCCCAAACCTAAATAGAAGTCTAAACTAAGAACCACAATTAAAAACTAAAAATGAATTAAGGAAGTTAATGATTAAGGATTTGCATTTGCAACAATGGTTCACCAAGTAACCTAATATAACTAGTTAGAAGATAAGTTATCACAAATGAGTTTGACATGTACTCCCAGCAAATTGCTCATATTTATTATAGCTTAAATAGCAAGATAAAGTGGCATGTGAAGTGAAGAATAAAAGAGACAATTTACAATATAATATTAATATGATGAATGCCATCCTATTATCAAATTAGAATAGTATTGCACATATTAAATGTAAAAGATGATTTATGATATTGTCATTCATATAAAAATCATTACTCTGTACATTTTTATACTAACATGTATAGTCACATTAGACATGCACATAGACATCTAACGATGATTCATCAACATTTTATCATAGTACTTTTATATTTATATAACTCTATATTTTGTCTACCAATATAGTCTAGATGGTGAAGGTTTTTATTAATCTCTAAAATCTTTTTTTTTTTTTTAAATTATAAATGATGATACTCTATGGACCTGTTTATCCGTCTAGCCGATTTCAAAAGAGTTTCATAGACTTCATATATCAATAACAGACAAACATATATATATATATATATATATATATATTATGATATAAAATACAATAAATACGTATGGTGAGTAAAAATAGGCTTGGATTAGGGTTGATGTTTAATACCTTTGTCTGAGAGGGTAGGCCTCAATCAGATGGTTGTGGTATCTTTGAATGGACCCAATGAACCTTCACATGAAGTTCAAGGCCCTAGTGAATTGTCTAGATATGATTTCAATTGAACTATTTCAGGTGTTGGTCTAGAGCTATGTTAGAGCCTTTTTAGGATAGGGCTTTCGTGGGAAATTAACTCCTCTCACTGTGGAGATGGTGTGCGCATAGGGAATTGGAGTTTGTTGGAGGGTGGAGGTGTGGAGAAATTTGTCCTGTTTTGAGATAAATTTTTTAGCTCAAAATTGGGCACTCACGAGGGGAACCAGAGAAGGAAAATGGTGGGCTTGAGTAGAGGAGTTCTTAGAGAGTCTCTAGTGAGATTTTGGCAGAGTTTCCCTAAGGATTTAGATCATCTCCCCTTTAGTCGGGAATGGGGTTGTTTAAATAAGAGAGTTTGGAGTGGAGCTTAAGGCTTCAACTTGGGTTCAATAATTGCTTATGTGGAGGGTTCAAATGTGCCAAGGCCAATTGGAGCTGGCCAGCTTAGGTGGGTGTAATCGAGTTTAAATTTGAGCAAGGTGGCTCTTAGTTTTGGGGACTTCCAGCTACTAAGGAGGCTGGCTAGGGCAGGGGAAGCGGTCAGGCAGCCAGGTGAGCCAAGTGGAGGTTTAATTATGATTAACCCCTAATGATTTGGTATGATGGCAAGGATTTCTTGGTTTAGGCCCAAAAAAGGATAATATCCCTTAAATCAAGGGACCACTAGTCCATGGCTTCCATAGGTTGGTCTAAGTGGGTCTAGCCTGGTCACTAGGATTCATTTAGTGCTTGTACATATATATATATATATATATATATATATATATATATATTATACATATCATAAACAAATTTTTAGTAAATATTCCGTAATCAATATCACCAAAGCTAGCTTCATGATAGAATATGATTTCCATAAGCATGATTTATTGTATTGGACAAAGACATTGTGCATGGGAATAACTCTTGTTATCATATAGAATTATTTTAATATTAAGGAATTTATGCATCAATTAATCATTGTGAAATACTTTACATCATATGATAATTCATTATAGACATTCAAATGAATCTATGATAGTATTTATGACAATAATTAAATGTGAAAGATAGGATTGATAAATTTTTAAATACCTAGGGAGCCTATCACAAGTAGCACAAATAATGCCCTGATTAAAAGGGATGCACTTATATTCAATAAATAAAAAATGACTACATCGAGATAGTATTTCGAGAGTCCAAAACTCGGTCGAGAACTATGGAACAACAATAAACGAATATTACTTATATTATGAATTCCAAATAAATCAGAAACACATATTCTAGGCATCGAAAATCAAAAGTTAGCTAACAGAAGAGCAACTTAGTTAACATAAGTTACCCATTAGCCATCCTTGTTTAATTATCGCCTCTAAAAAATTAATCCCTAAACTCTTAAACTGAAATATATAATCTATCCCTAAAACTAATCAAACTAAAATCAAATCTAAGGTCTAATTGATTAATGATTTAGATTTTTGAGCATCAAGAGCTAAGCAAAAGAATGGGAGGAGAAGATGAGGTTGCGTAAAAGTTCTCTGAAGATTGATAACTATGAATGTACTGAGTGTTTGTGGAGGGAAAGACAACCGCTTCTTGAGAGAATTGCAAAGGAAAGATATAAAAGGGTAGGGCTTGTGATTCTTGGCTAAAGGAGATGAGGATTTGTGATGTTATGTTTGAGGATTTATGATGATAGGCTTTTGATGTTTTGATTGTTAAGGAAGACTCTCACTCAAGGAAAAGGGAAAGGGAGAGAGGAGTTCACCTTTGTGGCACGGGATGAAGCAAATGAGGGAGAAGTGCTATTCCCTCGCTATCATCTCCTTAAATTGTGTCCATAGGCTGCTTGCAAAATCTACGAGATTAAGTTTATTAAATTCTGAGTGTGGTAGAAGTGATGGTGGAAGGTGGAGGGTGGAGGGTGGAGGGTGGAGGGTCGCTTGTGCAATTTTCCTGAAGGAGCTAGAGGCTTGAATCTCTCTGCTTTAATTGTAAGCATATAATGTTCAGCTCTATTTTGTGCTTGAATCTCTCTGCTTTAATTGTGTGAACCTCTTCAAAATTATATTAATTTCTTGAATTTTCTAATATTTTCTTATATGAATGATTTCTCTAACTATCACTTCTTTGTGTAAAGATAATCATAGTTCCTTCCAGTCTTTGTATGTTGAGTTTTCTGTAATTCTGCTTACAATCCTTTCCATCCTGCCAACAATTAAATTTTTTTTTATGCCAGGTATATGCGAATAATTTTTTCTGAAGGATTGGAGATTTCACAACCCGCTGTTGATCCAGAACTATCATCCGACATTCACCATCGAATTACAGTCCGAAATAGAAAGACAAAAGTTCATAGGTAGTTGTAATATTTATTTATCCGAGTGAATGTTTGTTATTGTCTCAATAATTATATTGTGCAGTTCCTCATTCTTCTTTTTTTGCTTTACTTAATTAGAAGGGTGTATTTTTGCGGAAGTGTAAATTGCTCAGATGAAAGCAAAGGACCTCCTTGCACTGGGTAGGCTTTCTATTACATAAAGAGCTATATTTCTTGCTATCTAAAGTTTATTATTTTAGGTTCGTAAAAACCACTCCACTTCTTGTTGTGTCGTAAAGGTTAAAATTATGATATCATGCTTTAGCCTATCTTGGGTTTTGTGTAAATTTGCATCATATTTTATTTTTTTCATTAGCTCAAGTCATTTACTTTGTCTTAAGTTCAGCCCCTTACAGGTAAGGATATTTTAAGCTTCTTTGGTCAATGAAATCACATTTTGAACTTGTAGTATATGAAGATCTTTGAAGCGAAATAACTACAACTAGCTTTGATCCATAGGTGTTATAATACCTTATGTGCACGTTGAATAACTAGAAGTTGTTGGGACAAAGAAACCTTGTTCGATGTATAAAATACGCCACACTCAAAGTTTTTGTCTACAAAAATGGGACTCAAGAAGGCTCTTCTCTCTATTGTACAAGAGCAAACCGCAGAAATCCTACACAGAACTCACTGCACCGCTTGCTCTGTCCTACTCTTTTTACACGCAGTGCTGAGAGATCTGTTCATCATATAGAAGTCGAGGAATTAAATTTTGATGGAAAGAGAAAGCGCTCCTAAGCACCACTCCCAAGCATTGCCTTTCCATGCACCTTGTATGGAGTCATTCGTCTGGGTATTGAATCAGCATGTCTTGAGCACTGAGTTTCCAACGTCTCTTTTTTCGAACCTAGAAATGAACATACAGTGGCTTAGTCGTTCCCATTCAGGGTACTAGATTTACCATTGCTCGTTTTACTGAGCGCCTAGGCACCCTTAGGCACCCTTATTGGTGCTGGGGCCCTAGGTCCTCTCACCGAGCTCTGGTTTGTGCGGCAGGGTTTCCAACCCAATCAAACTATACACACTATAAATCTTTTACTTATAGAGACTGATTGCATTCAGTTTCTTTTCTCAAGATCTGCACCTCCAGGTCTGTACCATCTTCATTCATGTAATGCAGTGCGACTCATCTATAGTCTCAACTTTCGTGAACTCCCACTGAAGCCAAGCTTAGTTTTAGTTTTTCAATTCTAACCACTTAAGTCAACATGTATGCATGATTCTGAGTTGTCTTTTTCAAAATATATGCCATCTATTTTATACTGACATGAAAAACGATATTATTAGCTCGATGAATAACACTCATACTTGCATTATGAAGCTTTCCAATATCTTGTTAGGAGAATATCAAGTTCTGCCATAAAGCTCTGCAGCCAGATCAAGTCCTTGCCTCAGTGATAGCAATGTACTCAATTTATGTAGTTGAAAGTGTAATATCTTCTGCAGTCTGGAAACCATACTCACTGTTGCGTTCTCCAAAGTGAATATATATTCCGTTGCACTTCTACCATCTTTATCCTCTTACGGATCTGAATCTTCATATTCTTGTAGATCAATCTCTGCACCTTTGAAACAAAGTGCCCTGTTGACTATTCTTCTAAATTATCTGAAAATTCACTTCATTTTCTCTCTATGATGTTTGCCTCGATTACCCATGTATCTGCTGATCACTCATATTATATGTGCAATATTTGATCTTGTACATATCATCTCATACATCAAACTTCCAATAGTGCGGACTTCGAAAATTTTGACACTCCTCGAAATTCTCTGCAGTTAATTTTATTTATTTTTTGTTGAGAGAGCTTTGGAGGGTTAAATTTTCAGAAGGTGGATGAGATTATAGATAATACATTACTTAGAGATTTCACCCTCATTTTGCAATAACTTTTTGATATGGGGTTCGAGGTTTCCCATATGCACAAGCCCTTATGGTTAATTACTTCTGATAACGAGATAACACTTTCGATTAAGGTTTGTCATTTTGAATTGAATATTCAATATATCATAACATAGAACTTAAGTTACAAATTTTATCACTTGAAGCTTAAAACAAATATTGGAGGAAATGAGGATGAAACTCGATCAAGATCCCATAGTTTTGTCATCCGAGTCGTCATAGTCTTTGATCTACTTAGTTAGAAGTGGTAGTCAACTCAACTTAACTGAAAAATCCTTATCAACAATCAGGGGTTGCGTTGTCTGAGCGGTCTTTGTAGATCTTGGGTGGATGTTTGTTTAAGAGGACAAGTTTAAGTTATCCTTACCTTAATTAACAAAGGATATTATTTTTTTATGTCAACACGCATTCCAACCAATGTATTAAATGCTCAAATGCTAGTTTGAGAATGTTGCACGGGCTAATTGGGCTACTATGCCTATAGGGCTGGGTTGTAAGTCCCAGACAACTAGTATGATTCTTCTTGCAAGGGACTGGAGTTGATTAGTCAAGTAAATGTAATAAACGTTCAAATCCTTACAAGTCCAAATCACCTAGATAGATCTTTCTCATTGTAAGAACTGGAATAGACATGACTCATACTCCAAAAAAATCTAAACTAACGAAGCTAAACGCCCTCTTCAAATATAGAAGTTTTAAATGCTTAAATCATTGATGATGGCCGAATTGACGGAAGATTTCAACTGGAAGGGTCTATTTTCATAATTAAGCCTCTAAATAGGGTTGGCTTAGGCTCGGCTCGTGTTCGACTCGTTCGAATCTGGCTCGCGTTCAAAATCGGCTCGTGTTCGAAATGGCTCGTGAACAGTGTGTTTGTGTTCGGCTCAAATAATATTTTCATGTTCGTGTTCGGCTCAAAATTGACTCGTTAGAATATAAAATTATTTTAATAAATATTATTTTTTAAAAAAATAATAATTTTGCCTAAAATTTTTTCAAGAACAAATTTCATACAAAAATTCAGATATTTATTAACTTAAAAAAATGATGAACTCAAAAAACTTTACAAAATTGATTGCAAAATTTTATACAAGAATATTAATATTATTTGACAAAAATTTACAAAATAAGAATCAATTTATTACAAATTTTAAAATGTACAAACTAAACAAGAGTACAAAAAATAAAATAAAAATATGAAAATAAAAATCAAAATCTAAAAAAAATTGTATTGAACATTTAATTCTTGTTATGCTTTACATACAACTCAAACTACTAAAACTAATTTATGTAAAACTCGAGCTCACACCATTGGAGCTCCTGACAAGCACCTTGAGTAGATACGTAGGTTTCTTCAGTGCAGTAGGTTGTAGAATCGAAGACTATGATGGTCGTTGGTTGATCTCTGGTTAAGACTTTCAGAGATCTGTTGTTTGCAAAATATGTCAAGAACGAATTCTAAAGAAGCAGTCATAATGGTGAATCTCGGTATTATGGCTCTCTAGAAGAATACCACTTTGCAGCTTGTTGGTTTGGAGATTCCCATTGTTGACGCTATGACCATGATTGTATTTTTTTGAAGCTACATCATATGACTTCAGTTTGTCGAAGAAGTATATTATTTGAAATTATGAAGGAGAAAGAAGAATATTAAGAGCTTTGTGATTGTTACTTGATCAATCTGTCTTTCAACAAGCTCTAGCCTCATAAAAGAGTATTCCTGTCCACAATCAATTAAAAAAAAATCTAAAATCGGTTAATAGAAAGAGCTCGGCTAGTGATATTGAACTACTTTTCTTGAGTTCAACAAATTAAGCCCTACTGAAATGAATCATGCTAAATTTTGATTTTTTATAGTAGACCAATAGAGCTCCAATTAAAAAGCGGTTATCTTTCTTCTTAGATAATTGCTCAAAATTAATGAAGGTAAAATGATCAGAGAAGGAATTGGAGTGACGTCTGATTTGTGCTCTTAGAGATCTGTCATTAACAAGATTGTGCGAAGATGAATTTTGAAAAAAGTTTATTGAAGAATCTTAAGATGGTTGACACCTTGAAAAGCTTGCTAAGAGATCCCATCTTTAGTCAGCATAAACCTTGCGGGCAAAGAAGTTATCAATTTAATGCTAGCAGGATATGGCTATGGTAATTTCTTACCTCCTAATATATAAAAAGAGATGTATCTTAAATCCTCATGGGTTGGAGGATTATTAAATTCAAGCTGAAATAATTTTTTTCGCAGAGTGATTTCATCAAACCTAAAGTTGACAGAAAATTTAAGCTTAACTTGGAAGGTATTTTTGTCATAAAAAAGACGTATATGGAGGAGCCTACCAACTCAATTACTTTAATAGTCGACGATTAATGTCGACAATCAATGATCGATGTTTGATGAAATATTACACATAGCTCCCTTGTTAAAGCTGTTACAAAAGTTTCCTATAGTGAAAAGAGAATATATGCTCTATTCCACCACGAGTGTAATGCTTCATTGGAAATTCTTATTTAATGCAAGAATGCATTTCCAAGTTCTCATTAAGTTTTCCCTAGCAAGGCGGGACATTTTTTTATTTTATTTTGGTCGACACCGTGCTCTAAGACAAGATCCCCAAAAAGACCCAAGCATCATTATGATACAACTACGCTTTTCCAAGTTAATATGGGTATTTCTAAGTTTATTTGGGTTGACACCTTACTCTAAGCCGATATCACCAAAAATACCAAGTGTTGCTGAAATTTCTCCTGCAATATAGGGAGTCTTCTTAATCATTTGAGTTGAAATCATGCTAAATGTCGAGATTCTCAGATATATCTACTAAGTGCTGAAATCAACCCTTTTTCCAAACCAGGGAGACAAACTTTCAGGGTAGCATTGAGATCCAAGCTTAGAACCTATCATCTAGGTTGAAATCACGCTCATAGTTGAGGTCCTTACGTGCATTGTAAACTCAAGTTGTTCCTTTTTGCTAGATGAGGAACAAATATTTTAAAGATTTTCACGCATTCAAGTTAAATTCATGGTCAAAACTGAGACTATTGAGCGCTCCGGGCACTGAAGTCCATTCTTTATCAGACAGCGGGCTCATTCTTTTTGGGGTAAATACCAAATTCAAGGTTGAAATCATCTATCTAGAAGAGATGACATCTTGTATAACACCGAGATCTCCCTCCATTTGGGTTGATATCGTACTCATGGACAAGATACCCAAGTAACTCGGGCGACATTGTGTTTTACATT